ATGTACCAATTATCAGTCACCACATGGGATGGTTAACTCGCGCTCATTTAAGAGAGAGTTATATTAAGTAATGTTGGGTTCTCTGCACAGTGGCAGTGGCGAGTGGCCCTGAATCAGGAATACTGTAATTCAGAATTGCCCCACGAACTGTTACTGATGATTTGAAAGTCAGGCTATTTTCCAGCACTTTAGGAGGCTGAGGTGGGCGATCACCTGAGGTCAGGAGTTCTAGACCAGTCTAGCCAACATGGTGAAATTGCATGTCTACTAAAAATACAAAAACTAGCCAGGCGGGGTGGCACAAACCTATAATCTCAGCTACTTGGGAGGTTGAGGCAAGAGAATTGCTTGAACCTGGGAGGCAGAGGTTACAGTGAGCCAAGATTGCACCACTGCACTCCAGTCTGGGCAACAAGAGCGAAACTCCATCTCGGCACGGGGTGGAAATAAAGTCAAGACATCAGTAATCACTGGAGAAGACACATTCAGGGCACATTTCTTGGCCTCAGAGGATTATGTTCTATTAGACATCTGAATGTACAAAGATATACAAGCCCCAGTGGGAGGTAACTTCAGGGCAGGTGTGAGTACAAAGGAGCACAGGCTTCCAAGTGTATGTCGGTGGCCAGTGTTACAGCAGTTCACGCACACACAGAAAATGTACATGGGTTGCTGTCTGGAATGCCTGGGGAAGATTTCCTGAAATAAATATAAGGTGCACTGGGTTTTGAAAGATGCATATTTAGACTAGTAGAGGGAGAGGCCAGGAATAAGAGGACAACATTCTCTTGTAAGGTCAGGTCAAGGAGTAACCCACAGATCTGTACAACTGAACAAGAAAACTTGTCAGGGAACAAACGGGAGAGACTGAAGGCCAGAATGCAGTTTGGAGGCCGATCATGGAGTTTCTTGAATTTCAGGGTCATGGGTACTAAAACTGTTTATGTTGCCAGAAATAGAAACCAGGGCTAGGACGGCAGCAGATGTGTCGGTGTTCCCAAGAAGGGAACCTGGGGCAGTAAAGGATCGTGCATTGGTCTACCTGGATGCTCAGGACAGCCTGCGACAGGACAGGAGGCTTTGTAGGAACATTTACTATGAGGATCAAAACAGGTTATGGTTAATGGAAAGTTTTTTTTGTTTGTTTGCTTGTTTTTCTTTTTGTTTTGTTCGAGACGAAGTCTACCTCTGTCACCCAGGCTGGAGTGCAGTGGCATGATCTCTGCTCACTGCAACCTCCACTTCCCAGGTTCAAGGGATTCTCCTGTCTCAGCCTCCCGAGTAGCTGGACTTACAGATGCCTGCCACCATGTCCAGCTAAATTTTTTGTATTTTTAGTAGAGATGGGGTTTCACCATGTTGACCAGGCTGGTCTCAAACTCCTGACCTCAGGTGATTCACCCGCCTTAGCCTCCGAAAGTGCTGGGATTACAGGTGTGAGCCACCATGCCCAGCCCAAGAGATGTTATAAAATAATCATTTTGGGATTTGGTGACTACATGGTTGGAACTTGGTGGAGACTGGTGAAGCAAGAGGAAGTACAGAGTCAATAAAGTTCAGCTGTTTAAAACAGCAACCACCTGACAGTTCATTTAAAAAATTAAAAAAAAAAAAAAAAGAAGAGCTGCTTTAATTCTAAATAACGCAAAGATCGGATTTTTTCATTTTGAATTTTGAGTTAAAATTTCTTCCTTATGCTTACCAAGAGAGGTCTCATTTCAGCTCTCAATATCCACATCATTAAAATTTAATTTTTTGATGGGGGCACAAACCATGTATATATTGTTGATGTGTTTGTACTAAAGAAATAATCCAAGATAATATAAATGGTATATTAATTATTTAAACATTTTTACATAGCTATATAAAACTACATTTCTGACTAAAGTTCCAGTTACAATGTAAGCATCAATAATTCTAAACTATATATTCTGTTTTTTCAGTTGGGGATTAAATCTGCCTCTTCAGTTTATTTAGGAAACCAAACTACTCCAGTGGTTATGTGAAAGAAATTTATTGATACTAAAAATGCTCAAGTTGTTTAACAGAACAACTGTTTTTGTATTTTAGTTAGTGCACATTTTGAACTTCTAAAAATAGCTTTTATGCAATAAAACAACAACACACCAAGACAGCTCTAAGTAATAACTTTTGTGACATCTCAGTGGATCAGCAGCTCCTACATCAATCCTCCCACAAAACTATCCTTCCTTTGAATTCTAGAGCTGCTTTAAGTGTTGCTAGTTAATTGCGTTTGAGAAATAAACAACTGTTTCAAGGCATAATGGGAAACAAATAGCATTAGAGTGCTCCCTTTCCCGATTAATTAGAATTTGCTACTATTTATAACTACTTTCCCCATCAACTCATCCTGAATGTTGAAAGAGAAAGCACCTCCTCAGGTGTTTTCTCTGACAACATTCCCATTCCAATTTCACATCTCTGTATTTCACATTTTGTAATAGTAGAGACCCGTAGCACTTAGCAGTCATTGAATGTTTTTCCAACTTGTATTACAGTACTCTAAACAGTTCCCAAAGAAATCACTCTGCACCCCTCAAATGTCTCCTCAAAACGGCATTCTATGTATGTGGATAGGAGAAAGAAATATAAAATGGAATATCAAGATGAAAGTAGCATCCTAACTCCAAGGACAAGAAACAGGTAGAAATATGACGTATTTTTCTCTTTTTCAAACAAAAAATTGTCGGTAATTAGTGATTCGTATGAACCCAAGTAGTCTCTTATCAACCTCCTTTGCTTCCTCTACTAAACATAACCCAGCAAGTAAAAGAAAAAACCATTGTGTTGCACATATAACTCACCAATAAAGCTCTCTGAGATATCAATTTATTTACTGTTCACTGAAACTCCAAAATGAAATATGATGTTTCTAATTGTTCTAACTTAACATTTCCACTGTTGATCCTGTTATAATATTGAAGATGGTAAGAATGTTGTCTTATATTTTACATAAAATGATAATAGTACCATAAGACCATAAGAGATAATACCTTATTGAAAGACATACCTGTCAATCAAATTAATATTAAGACAGGTTTTCTATATGTGAAAGAAACAGAGTAAATAAAAATATTGAGAGAAAGAAAACGGAAATATTTTTAACAGTGCATACTTTTAACAGGAATTTTTTAATGGAAAGGTTAAGCGGTACTTTTAATGTAGGGTCACACACATCGGTATTTGAATAAAATGGATTATGTAATTCTTTTTCTATAACTCTGCAGGTTTTATTACAATTATAAAATGCTACTATACCCTAGCAGCATCAATAATTGAGAATAAAAAAGTTACTAACATTTAGAAGAGCATAAATTATTTAAGAAAGCCTACATCAAATTATCAAATATTGCATATGTAGATATTTTGTTCAAATACTCACATGTAAGACCATAAATGTAATACAAGGAGAGATGAAAGCTTAGCTAACTGATTCAGAAAAGAGACGGCCATTCTACAATGTATTGAAGGTAAAAATGCTTCTGAAAATAGATAATAGATACTGTAGATGACCCAGAAAAAAACTCGGTGTTTTGTATTTGAAAATGGGTGAAAAAAAACTCAAATAAAATATATTTGAAAATATATTAATGAATACATTTTATATTTGACATATTAGTTATGTAGTTAATATATATTGACATAAATATTATAAATTAGATGTACACATAAAATTGTGTTTTGTGCAGAGATTTTTTTCTCATCCCATAAAATAATAAATGAAGCATATGATTTTTGTGTGTATTACTGCTGGCGTTAATATCAGTAATCTATATAAGTTCATCAATTTTGTTAAGAAAATCTGATTTATTTGGGAGGGATATTGCTTCCTCCTTTCCCAAATGGAAAACAAAAAGTAGATACAGTTGTACAGGTACAATTTTTTCTTGCTGACAACTGAAAAAATATAATTTAAAATCATCTCAGGAAATATTTTGCTTTCTTCATTGTATAAACTATAGATCAAAAGAGAAAACCAATTATGAATAGATTGTACCATTATTGTCTAAACCACAAATTCTCCAAAGAATGCAATAGTCCTGAATGTTCTTACCTCACCCACCTCCTATGTTCTTTTCACTGAATATATTCGCTGACAACATAAGGGTTCATTTTGTTCTGATTAGCTGAATTGTTCTCAAGCATTTATCTTTGTTCTTTTTCTCTCAAACTCACAGTTGCTTGAAAACAATGGTGTATTATAATTTTATTTAAATTACCTTGACAACTCTGTTTCACAGATCTTGAACAATTTGATATCTATAAACGAAGTCACTGATAATTTTCAATAAAAAGTTAAATTTTTAAGTATAGAAAAAGTATGTGCAATTTGCCACAAGTCGATAGTCTTCAAGTTTTCTTATAGTAACTGTATTTTTCTTTCCTGATAATGAGAGGTGAAACCAACTAGACTTCCTGCATTGAGTGGAAACTTGGAGAACTTTTCTATCTCACAAGAGGATTGTAAAATGCACCAGTCAGCACTCTGTAAAAACGCACCAATCAGCACTCTGTAGCAAGAGAATTGTAAAATGCACCAATTGGCGCTCTGTGAAATGCACCAATCAGTGCTCTACAAAACACACCAATCAGTCGTATCCTAAAACTAGCCAATCACAAGGAGGATTGAAAAAAGGGCATTCTGATAGGACAGAAACGGAACATGGGAGGGGACAAATAAGGGCATAAAAGCAGTGTCAACCTGCTGGGGTCCCCTTCTATGCTGTGGAAATGTTGTTGTTTTGCTCTTCACAATAAACCTTGCTACTGCTCACTCTTCGTTTCCCTGCCATCTTTAAGAGCTGGAACACTCACCGCAAAGGTCTACGGCTTCATTCTTGAAGTCAGTGAGACCGTGAATCCACCAGAAGGAACCAACTCCGGACACAATGAAATTTAAATATTAATTCCAACTAGATTTCAGAATCTAAGTATTCAAACAGTACTAACAACTATAACATAAAAAGTTGATACTTTACCTCACTTTTAAATTCCCTTGTTGAGGCTGTCCATCGTAAACTGATAAAATATCAAAATCTTCTTCAAGAGCAAAGGTATGGAAGGACAACTGTATCCTATTGCGCTCGCCCGTGATGATGATCCAGGTGCAGTTGGCATAGTTCGGATACCCGTGAGGAAACCCTGGGCTCTCAATAGTACCATTGGGACCCTGGACTAAGCCTCCACAGTTCTGACCTGAAAGAGAAAACACACACACACAAAGCATATTATTCTGGCCATCTATATTATGCGATTGTTAAAATTTCTAACCACTTTAGCCAACTTTTATAACATTTTATAATTCTTGCACAAATATTGAAGGATAAATTGTAAGTGTTCTGCAGTTCTGAAAGATAGAGAAGTACAACAAATTAAAAGGAAAGAAAATATGCCACATTTGGTAACTCATATTAGAAGTTTAGGGAAATTCTTTTTCCTGTCATTTTTAAATACAGCCTCATCAATATCAAACTTCAATTCATGGGGAACAAATTTGGTGCCAACTATCTATGTAGTATCATGCTTAAAACACTACACCCTAAATTCTTTGTTGGTGGAAACTAAGAGAAAAATAAACCTTATAAAACTATATATACACACACGTGTTTGCATAGCCACATAACTGCAATATGTGGTAATAAGAATAGTTAGGAAAAAACATGGTCAGCATGCCAATGATTGATCTCTGCCTGTGCTGACAAATGTCTTACTGGGCAGAAGAATAACACATGCATAAAGGAAGCTTATTACATTGAAAATAAAAGGCGTAAAACAAGGTAGGTTAAATGACACTCAAATGAAAGAGCAACTCAGCAAAAGGAGGAATATAACATCCTCACTATTGATGTCTACCCATCACACAGGCAGGACTTAGGAGGTGGAGGAGAAAGGAAAGTGCATCACATAATGAAGGGACCAATTAAAGAAAAGGCTCAGAGTTGCAATGAGCAGTAAGTGTTTTAGCCATCCCTAAGCAGGACTGCAGGACATCGCACATTTTACTCAGCCCTCCCATACTAACCTCCCTTTGGCAGGTGGAACTGGGATTACCCTGAGGGTTTAGGATTGACATGACAATGGGAAATGATGAGGACTGAACAGCAATTGAGCACCACAAAGCCACCTTCAAGCTACTGAACAGTGTCTGAGGAACTGATTTCCTTCTGCCTCTGCCCCCAAAGATTTTGTGTTATTGATTCGAACAAAGCACTTCTCAGGCGATTCCCAGACTTCTAGAGTAGTTCCAAAAGAACAGAACCCTTGAGAAATTGCAGGCCCCAGACTTCCTGCAAGAACGGAGCGCTGAAAGAACAGCTCTCGGAGATTAGTAACAGCTGCACACCTGACCCACCTATCGTATTTGTACCATGAGATAAACCGAATGCCTGCCTTCTCAACCTCACCGAGGCATTTCATTTCCGCTCCTCCTGATCTTCATCCACCTACTTTGCACGGTGATTCCCTACTTGCCTGTTTCAGCCCTTCCCCTTCCCACGTTACTTCCCACATACAAGCTTTCCATGCCATGCTAATTTTGTCCCTGTGGTTAATTTTTTTTCTTTTCTTTTTTTTTTTCTGCTCAGTTACCTGTAACAGTCTGCCTGTGATGGCCATGCCTGGGCCAATCCAACTGAAAGAAGAAGGGCAGAATCTGAGAACAGGGCAGACAGATCGTTGTAAGTGTGCTCTCATAAACACACCCTGCTCATGTAGCCCGTAAATATTACTATCCTACAAGGGAACAGGATAACCCGCTCAACCCCTTCCAACATTTTGTCTGTCTGAGGTTAGTTGTTAAGTAGCTCCTGAAAACTGTCTATGTTTCTTACCTTCTTAATATGCCCATTTCCCACTAATGTGCTTTAAATGCATTTACATGTTTTGACACTAAAAAATATTGAGAAAGTTTGGAAGGGACCTGGGTGTACTCAGATTGTGGCATGTAGTGTAAGTACTTGAATACAAGTATTACCTCAAGTTTTATTTTTAAAGTACACACAGAAAATTATTTTCAACTACATTTTATACTTAAAAAGTATTTTATAATAGTAGACCTCAGTGAGCTTAAATCATTCACAGTAATATTACCAAACGCTTGTGGGAGTTGGCTAAATCTTAATAAAAAGATTTAATGAAAGGGATTTATGAGTTTAAAACCAGAGAACTAATAAGAAGCCCATTTTCCACTAAATTTAAGTCTAACAATAACACTGTAACAAGTAGATATTAAAGCTGTGGGGTTTTGAAAGGTCTTTAAAGAAAACAGCTTTTCTGGTTTACGAGTAATTCTTGCTTAACGGTAAATCAAAAAAAAGTGAAGACGTGATTATAAATTGGAAAAAAGAAAAATCAGTTCAACAGAAAAACGTCAGCTGGAAAGTAGTTACTGTTATAGACCCATCAGGTTGAATCAGATTAACAGATATTAAGATTTCCTCAAGGAGTAACATTTCGGCTGCATTTAGGGTACCAATCAGTACAGTGCAGTTGCTGAATGAGTCACATTTGATCCGTTCATTGACATTCCAGAGCCCCAGTTAGAAATTCTGGAAACTGCTCAACAGTTCTTAGCAGAGTGAATATCATCCTTGGCTGTCCAATGTAAACAACCAAGAAGTTTTTAAAGTATGTATGCCTAAGGTAGAATCTGATGTATTTGGTCTGCAACTTAATACTGCATTTTATCATAAAAGTAATTAAGACAGTGTTTGACTGGTGTAAGCCTAGATAAATAGCCAGTGGAACAGAATGGAAAGCCCTAAAACCCACAAAGATATAGAATCTAGATTTAAAGTAAATATGGTACTCCTCTTTTCTGTTGGATCTTATACTCCAATGGACCCCTGCCTACTATAGAGTGTGCACAAATATTCTATACATGTTTTCTTTTTAAACGATGTACATCTAAGCTTGATGTAAATGCTGTTCATAACTACAGCTTCCAACAAGTGTATTAACTGAATATTTTTAATGGACAAACTTTTAAATGCCACAAACATAATCACATTTCAACATGTTGTTTAACGTGAATTCCTTGTAAGTACCTTTCTAATTTGTATTTCCTCAGGGCAATAAAATAATCTGTAATTTCTGTGATAATTGTAACGTTTTAGTAAAAATTATTTTACAGGAATTGAAAACTCAATTATTGTTTAAAAAAAAAGGTCTAATGGTCTTCTTCCTACATAAACTGATACTGGAAGTCACCTTGAAATAAAATATCAACACCAATGGCAATATCAATGGTAAAAAAGAAGTATATATGTATGTGTGTATTTTTCCCAGTGATATTGATTTCAATGTCGTATATATGCATATATATGTATATGTATATATGTATGTGTATATGTGTATATATGTATATATATGTGTATGTATACATATATACACACATATATACATGTATACATGTATATATATAGTGCAAATATGTATATATGTATACACACATATATATTCACATAAATATATGAACACACTCTGAGATGAGTATTTTGGTATGCATGCAATTACACATATACTGAAATACACATCTGTAATTGTATGGATACCAAAATACACATCACAGAAACATGCATGCGAAATTGTGCATACAGATGTTTTTGCTGCTATTATTCAAACAAATTTCCAAGAGAAAACCTGAACACATGCCATAATTTTAAGCGATTGGAATCTAAATCATCTGGCACTTAAATAATAACATACGAAACATCTGGCTCCTATCTAAAGTAATCAGCAGAATGTTAGATATAGAAGAATCACAGAGTTAATTTTTTTGCAGATTTCTACTCATTAGATGAGTCCTTAATACCACAACCTTAAATACACAGAGTTAACTTCAGTCATTTTTTAATTCTGTCTTATACTGTTGGAATGAGGTTCTGTTTTGAAACTACATTTTCACATATAATCTTTGTGGACCATCTAAGTAGCCACAAATCATGATTTTAGAAGGATGGAAGAACAAGTGGAAATGAAGTAAATTGTCAAAGTCTTCCGGGAATGAATCAAGGTCTTCTGACACCAAAGCCTAGAGCCGTCCCACCAAACCCAGTTACATCACCACGAACAAACACAGTGGACAACCCATTACATTACAGACCTCAGGTACGGTGGTCAAATCCTAATGTATATCACAATAAATGCCTTAGACTACAAAATAAAATGGTGAGTAAACACAGACATTTGGAAACTCTCGATATGTGGGGACTCTAACTTCTGCCCTTCTTTAAAACAAATCAATGCCCACTGTAGGAAAATAAAAGTGAAAGTATTAAGAAGCATTTAGAAAAATAAACATCACTCATAGTCTGATTACCAAAGATCATTATTGCTAACATTTTGCTGAACACTTCTCTAATCTACACTTAACGTTGCCATACTGCCTGGCATGCAAGATGTGAACAATCTGGATTTGGATTAAATACTTGCCAGACCTGCCAGAGCCAATAAGAACTGGTCTCGGAAGTGTCTTGCTTTGGAAGTGACCTGGTCAGCCTGTAGGTGCGCTAATCTCTATCCTGTGAAGGTCCAGGTCTGCAAGATGGGCAATTGCTCAGCAAGGAGCCTACAGGAAGACTTGCCCTGGGCCCGGTGAGCCATGGAGCTGACAGTTGGTTATACAGCAGTGCCCCTCTTGGAGGCTGGAAAACACATTCCAGTAAAGGCAGGGCTCACTGTGTCCTATGACGATTTTCTACTTTGAAAGCCTGTCTCAGAAACACCCAGCTTAGAAAATGGTCCCATGCCCTCATCATTTCTGAGATGAACTAACCCCTCCATTCTGAACACTCCCCAACAATTGGTTGGCTCCTCTCCTGAGCTCTTGCTCTGTAATTGGTGCTGATGTATAGCAGTGGCACGTACTTTTCCTAGAAGAAGGTAGCAGCTGAGATGCTTCATCTGTGATCCAAACTGATTCACCATGAGCATTTGAGGAGTGAGCGTATCACAAACACCTTCCCAGATTCCACACCTGGATGAAACTGCTGTTTCTCTCAATCCTGGGCTGGACGGTCATTATCAGAAAGTAGTAGAGGTGGACATAACATTTAAAAACTGGTGTGCCAAATATGTTGTCCTCCCTCATTTAATTCGTGCACAGCCTCTGAAGTGGGCTGTGGCTTACACTTTGCTTTGCTAACTGTGAAAATAATTACTTGATGCTTTATGATGAGGGAATGGTGTTGCTATTC